TTACCAGTATAAAGATTAAGATCGTAAGCGTATCCTGTCTTTGAGTCACATCGCATCCAAATTTTTATTCCGCGCTTTATTGGTTTCATTGGCATATATTGCTTCATACTCGATCTGCCTTTGAATTTTACCATGCACTCGTCAATAGACTGAAATGAACTTTCACTTCGAGCAGCTGCAAATGTTTGTTTCAGACATTGCACAACATCGGAGATATAATAATCTCTGTAWCTGTGGGCGGGCTTACTGCAGTCATTGAAATATAACTTCGATGACAATAATAAAAAGCGATCTCGTGAAAAACACTATTTTATAACTGAATTTCCCATCGATGGATTTTTGCTCCAATAGCCCTTCAGAGATGCCAACTTATTATAATGCATAATCAATGAAACGCCCAGAAATACCAATATTTCATTAGCATCAGTTAAATTTCGCTTTGACTGAGCCCGACGATTCATAGCTGTCAGACGCTGATTAGTACATTCAGCAATTCGAATGCACAAACTGTAAGGAAATATCGTGGAAAACACTTTGAACTCGGTGCAATCGTGAGCAAAATCAAAGAGGATTTTGCAGTCTCTCTCAGTTGGGATTTCATACTTTGGATTAAAGTTCTGAGAATCGTCCGCAGCAACATTTACCCACTGCGCAACTGGCAGTATATCGTCGTTTATTTTTGTGGGCTTATCCGCCAMAWTGATGTTATTGWYWGCTTCTGATKCAGATTCAGTGCTTTCGGAACTCTCAAGCAAACATTCACTCCCAGAGTCCTCAAAATCAACGTCCGAGTCTGACTCTTCAGACATACGACGCTCAATATCCTCCTGAGTTAGATACCTTTTCGTCATCTAAAAAGCATATTGGGACAAGTAATCCCACGTAAAAAACTTATTGGGATAATATGTCCCAATTTTATAAAATGAACTCTAACTTACCCTATAATAGCAAAAAACACCACTAAACAATTAAATGTAACAAACCGAACACTTTTTTTGTGCAAACAAATGCAAATTTTGTTGATCACGCTTTTATTTCGACCGATTTCAGCAAATTAGTGAAGACAACTGATCAAATTTCACGTATATTGCGAAATACTTTGTTGTGGCGTCTATGCGCTTAAATTTACCGCTATCTTTTTGTTTACAATGAATCAGGCAATCGCATGCGCAGTAAAGAAAATACGAAAGTTAGAAATTTGGTGGGATGTATTATCCCAGTAGTCCCGAAAGGGTTAAATAACTGAATATACTTATATGTGTATATGTTTGTATGTATTGTACACCACATGGTTTTGATTTTAAATATATGTTGAAGATTTACTTGTAGAAGTCTCCATATCACTTCACTTCACACTATTACACTTCACACTTTATTCAATAACTTCACTTGTTATTATTGTTTTTATGAGCACAGCGAGTTCTGCTCCATCAAGATCACCTCTTGAACTGAYTCTGCGAGGACATARCGCCTAATTATATACGCACCCTTTCACTGCTCTAAAAGTAGCTAACGGTTCCTGAGTCTCGTCACTCTGTTCGCAGARTACGATCACTCAGTAACTATTTCTCTAGTCCTGTTACTATGCTTATTTGCGCATTTACATTCTATAGTACCGTAATATATGCCGCCAATGCGTCGCCTACTTCAAATAACGTTGTGGCACATACAGTTACCTACAAAATATTAGCGCTATAACATACGCATTTACAGTGACATACAAAATACAAGCATAAGCGCTCCGATATATACAATTTAATAAATGTGTGTGCCTTTAATGTTATCTGATGCAGTTTTATGACTATTTGATGCGCATGAGTATGTTTATGTATTATATATACATATGTATGTATGTTCAATATATTTAAAAATAGACCCTGCCAAGAAGGAACGGTTAAAAGACCTGTCTCTTATACACATCTAGATGTGTATAAGAGACAGCCTTTAATGTTATCTGATGCAGTTTTATGACTATTTGATGCGCATGAGTATGTTTATGTATTATATATACATATGTATGTATGTTCAATATATTTAAAAATAGACCCTGCCAAGAAKGAACGGTTAAAAGACCAGTGATCAGTGGGTAAACATATGGGTAGTTTGCCATAGGCTGCGTAAAGATTCTATCCTTTTTTCCTCTCACACGTACGTACAGCATTGTCATATAAAAAAGTCTTTGCCTTGCTCTAATATTCCCAATCGACGGCTGATGCAAGGTTGCATTTTTTAATTCCTACTTTAAAAATTTCTTAAAATTTGAAATTTTTAGTTTTTAAATTATTAATTTAATTGTTTTTAATACATATTTACATAAATTTGTAATTTATTGTAATTAAAGGAGACAAGGGAAGATGGAGTCATGTGTAGAACTTAACGCAAGTGAAGAAAGTTCTCTGAACGCCATTCACTTAGGAGTGGCCAAAAAGGATTCTTATACGTATGACTCAAGCAGCTCACGACTTCCGGTCCTTGACCAAGTATCCTCGTGGTAGCCTAAGAACATCCGTTTGAAGGCGAGCTAAAGAAAGCGAAACATTCCCTGCATAGGGTTGTGCGCTGGCTGGGTTTGGAACCAACCACCCCGAATGAAAGGAAACAACAAGACTTGATGAGTGACCCCCATTTTGATGACGACCATGGCAAACGAATTAAGGACAATGATTTGAGGGACCTTCCAGGTGCATGAATGTCCGGTCCCTTCATTGAGAAGGTGCCGCTGCCCAGCTGGTTGATGTCCTCGTGATAAGGCTGACATCACTGTCGTCCAAGAAATGCGGTATACGGGACAAGGACAGAGACGAGTAGGTCCTTGTGGCATTTAATACAGTTGACATATAAAGGAGCGCAAGTTTGGTGTGGTATTCGTGATGGGAGAGAGACTACGTCGCCGAGTACTATCATTCCCTCAGGTGAATGAACGTCTAGCCACAATCCGCATCAAAGCAAGGTTCCTCAACATATCGCTGATTTCCGCCCACGCCGCGACGAAAGRGAAGCCAAGATGTCAAAGTCCGTGCTTCTCGACTTTAACGCCAGAGTGGGCGAAGAAGGTATCTTTGGCACTACGGTCGGTAAATTCAGCATCCATGAGGAAACAACCCCAAATGGGTTGAAGCTGATCGATTTCGTCGGGGCCCGAAATATGGTTATCTGTAGTACTAGATTCCAGCATAAGAAGATACAACAACCTACCTGGCTGTCTACGGATCGAAAAACCATCAACCAGATTGATCATGTTTTGATAGACGGAAGACACGTCACCAGTGTTTTGGATGTACGTGCGCTCCAAGGTCCTAACATCGACTCGGACCACTATCTTGTTGCAGCCAAGATTCGCAGCCGCCTTTGTGTAGCAAAAAACGCACGCCTTCAAACACAAGGAAGGTTCGACGTCGAGAATCTGCAATCACAACAGACAGCCGAACGATTTTCTACTCGGCTTGCACTCTTGTTCTCTGGGAGCACTCGTCAGCAAGTGAGACGCCTTCGCAGAYAGGAAAAGAAAGTGGCCGAAATGCGTGAGTACGAAGAGCTTGATAAGCTGGCCGACAGGAGCATTCTCTTGTAGAAACCCCAAAGGTGATCTAGTCACCGATGCCCAGAGCCTACTTAAATTATGGAGGGAACACCTACATACAGCCTACTGAATGGCAGTGAACGCACAACGGCAGGAGAAGGCGAACCCGATTCCCCAATCGATGACGATAGAGCAGACGTTCCATTGCCCGAACAAGAAGAAGTTCGAATAGCAGTTACCCGCCTGAAGAACAGCAAAACGGCGGGGGCCGATGGATTCCCGTCCGAGCTATTCAAACACGGCGCCGAAGAACTGATAAGGAGCATGCATCAACTTCTTTGCAAAATATGGTCGGACGAAAGCATGTCCAACGATTGGAATTTAAGTGTGCTATGCCCAATCCATAAAAAAGATGCCCCACAATCTGTGCCAACTATGGTGGGGATAGCCTCCTCAACATCGCATATAAGGTTCTATCGAGCGTATTGTGTGACAGTTTAAAGCCCACCGTCAACAAACTGATTGGACCTTATCAGTGTGGCTTCAGACCTGGCAAATCAACAACCGACCAGATATTCACCATGCGCCAAGTCTTGGAAAAGACCCGTGAAAGGAGAATYGACACACACCACATCTTCGTCGATTTCAAAGCTGCTTTCAACAGCACGAAAAGGCTGCCTTTATGCCGCGATGTCTGAATTTGGTATCCTCGCAAAACTAATACGGCTGTGCAGACCTCTCCGAGCCATTTGATTCCAAACGAGGTTTCAGACAAGGCGATTCCCTATCGTGTGACTTCTTCAACCTGCAAACTAAATAGAGAAGGTACCATCTTCTATAAGAGTGTTGCTTGCGTATGCCGATGATGTTGACTCGGCTATAATCGCGTAAGCGGTGTCTACGCCAATTAAGAAGAAGAAGAAATTTGTGTAAATAAAAATATATTTAATTTAAAAAAATAATTTCATCTAAAAAAAGATTAATTAAAGAAAATAATTATTAATTCCTTAACAAAAAAGAGTGAAAAAAGATTATAAAAGACAAATACCTAAAATATAATAAAGGTTATTAAAACCTGAAAACAAGTAATAATTATATTGGATTTGTAATATCTGAAAGAGAAAGAAAGGTTAGTTGTATAAAATGATAATAATCTATAGAAAAGATTAATATTATCTGAAAAAATATTATTTATAAATAGAATTTACTCTGAAAGCAAAGATTATTTAAATAAAAATAATAATAACATATGAATGGAAAGATAAATATTATTTCATCATTTAAATTTGTTTTCACATATTATGTTGGATTGTGCAGACCGCCTTAAACGCATAAAATACATATGTACTTATGTATGTATTTATTTTTGCGTATTATATTGGACTGCGCAGTCCAATTTCAAAGTACATACACTGTTTTCACAACCAACAATTGATATTTGCTGCTTCTGATGATATTGCTGCAACTGCTATTTCCAATTCATTTTTATTTTCAATGCTATAGAAACAAATGAAGTAATTATTTGCAAATTATTTAAAAAAAAGTCACATACATTGCTTACCTTCTTATTGTACGAGCCTGCTTTACGATGGTACGATCACGAATGACATGCGTCTTTCAATTGCTTTTTTATTACCCTTTTTGGGATTTTCTTTTGGCACTATTGTTTCTGCTTCGCACTCAATCAAATAAATCAAGAAATGAATAGGAATAGCCGAATATATTGCGGCTTTGCTGATAAGTAAGCATGTTCAATGATATTTGAACATATTTCCGGTGCATTAATCCAGATTAATTCAGGAGCTAGTGAAGATAACTAAGATTTCTAAGTCCCTTTCAATACTAATAGAGAGTAAAAATTACAATGAACTGTTTACGAGAGATTCAAACTCGCATAGCTGCCATCTGTTACCAACCAAATTGGTTCCTACTGTGTGCGTGTATATTAACGGTGCCGTCTATTAAGGCTATAACCTAACATCATAATATAATTCACTGACAATATATAAACCACAATTTGTTAAACAAATACATTGCTATTAAAACTGCTTCAAAAGATTAAATTGATGAATGAATTGACAAAAGCGATACTGGACACTATTACCAAAGTGGCGTCTTCAGAAATAAGGGAAAGAAGCGCCTGGAAATTTGTAAGTTTAATATATTGTATATTAAATATTAATATTTTATACCCCTCTTTTATATATATTATTAATAAAAGGACCGCAATGGCACCTTCGTACGTCAAAAATATGAATGACATCCGACTTTGGTGTAAATAAAGAAGATTTTCACAAAGTATGTGAAAAGGTTAAGGAAATCGGAAAGTCCAACAACAACATGCGACTTTGAATTCCACTTAAGAAAAGAGTGGCTATTGCGTAGCAAGTTTATTTGGCGTAGGACGCACCACAATTGGGAATATAGTTGTGGATTTTTGCAAAGCCGTGTGTACAAATTTATCGGATTGCATCAATTCCTATCCCCCAAGCACATAAGAAGTAGAGCAAAATGTTCAACCCTCGTTTTCCGCAATGTTTTGGAGCAATAGATGGCTGCCACATTGAGGTTCAGCCGAAAAAGGAAGATGCGATCGAGTATTAAAATTAATGGGGTTCAGCTGGCAATTTGCGACTATAGGTAAATTTCATATACTTATTGGAAATATTTATATAAATCCTTTCACTATTTTATAGATGAAAATTTACATATATACATGTTGGGTCAACTGTAAGAAATAACGATTCTTACATTTTTGAAAGTACTTCCATAAAGAAATTTCATAAAACCGCTGATATTTTTGCTCAGAGCATCAAAATGATTGGACATGTTAACGTCCCCGTATTACAGAGGTTTACCGGTAGCTCCAAAAAACGTTAACGTTATTATACATACATGCTGTATTTTGTACAATTTTCTAAAAATTTAAATTGATGAAATTTCTCCTTAGTGGATACATGATGCTGCAGAAATAATTACAGAAATTCAACCACATCACACTACAAGAGCTGGGGAAAATGATGTAACAGCATCGGCTATTAGAAATGCAATAGCTCTGAGTTTTCGTGAGCATAGATGTATAGAGTAGCCGAAAACAAATACTAGTACACGTAATTACAAACATCCATTTTTGAAAGAGATAATTTTTTATTTGAATTAATTTTTTGTTACATTATACTATAATGTTTGAAGACTATAAAATAACAAAACATTTAATTAAATAATGGTTTAGGACTAGAAAAAGCGATAAAATTATTTAATTTAATTTTTTTTTTTGGGATAACAAAACATTTCAAAGTAGAAAAAAACGATATAGAAACGATTTATTGAAAACTCACCTGTATTTCTTTGTCATGTTTTCACTTTGMAGTGTATTTCCTCGGCGGTGTATTTTTGTGTCATTTCCTGCGAATTCTCATTTATGTATGATCATTTAGCGTTACACGTCGGAGGTCGTGGAAACGTGCCTCCCACTTTTCCAGCAGCTCCAACTCATCCTTTAAAGTCCACGCTGAACGCTTTTCTGAAAAATCTGAAATTAAAACAAAGTTAATGATTTTCGTTTAGAAGACAATGCAAAATACTAAATTGCTTACTTTTTATCTTTAATCGTCGCTTTCAAAATAACTTTGTTTACATTTAAATGTAAAACGGCATTCTTATTTTTCATTCACAATGGAATACAGCTGTCAATTATTAACAATGTTGCCAACGAAAATCCCACAATCTCTCTAAAATTTTGAGAATTTTGTTTGGATTCAGCAACGGAGTTAGCTGTGGTAACTCCTGAATTAATACCGAAAAATGCAGTTATTCCGGCCGTCTGTTAATGCTATAAAGAGTGGTGTGAACCTGGTTGTTCGACTTCATGTCTGGAATAAGGTTATAGCATCAGTTTTTTGGAATGCAGGGTGTATATGGGGTATTCCATAACAAATCGACCACTTTTGAACACGACCCCTTTAGATTTTTCTGAAACTTATCCATCCTTTTCTACCCTTTGAAAAACATTTTTGAGAATTTTTTCAAAATTGTTTTGTCCAACTTCAAACAGGTTTGCTATTTTTGCTAAAAATGACTTTTTTCTGTTCAAATAGCCATAACTTTTGAAGAAATTGACATTTGGGGACCTTTGTTGTTTAAGTTTTGTTTTTGAATGAACTTTTCAAAAAAAATTTAACACATGTTCGGTAGAGTTTCACAATTTTTTAACATACAAACAACAATTTTTGTCCGGAATTACGCAATGTAGTTGTTAAGTTCCTACAATTGGTTTCGTTTTCAAAACTCTGTCATTTAAATCAGTTAATGCTGTATTATAATCTTTTTCTGGAGAAAACTTAACTATTTTAGGATGCTAAGTCTTTCCACTTTAATTTCTCAAAMTGTACTGTCCTAGTCTTTTTCACCGGTTCCATATGCTCATTCTAACATACATTCATTTTCTCTGCTTACATGCTATGTATTTACTTATGTATATATCTTTGCAAATGGACACATGAACTTGTGAAACATGAGTATATGTGTCAACACAATGACAACCAAGAATGTGTTTAAATGAATACAATGAACTTTAAAAGAGAATCAACAATAACTGAAAACGAATCTTAAGTTAACGGGATATATCTACATTAACTCTCCAATGGTTTACTCTTTTATATTTAAATTAACCCGTCAATGGTTTACTCCTTTATATATAAGTATAATTAGAATAACTTAAAGTTAGGATGTATTATCATACACATAGTACTTATTACTACAATTCGGCTGTCCTGACCATGAGATCTCCTGATCTCAAGTGCATTTATGTCTTAGTGTATAATCCAAACCAAGGTCGTATATTTCCAACAGCCCAAACTCCCTTATAAGGAATTCTGGACTGTTGAAAACTTTCAACATCCTCCAATACATATCTGTCGTTACGAAAAATTTTTGAAATTTTATACGGCCCCTTAAATTTTGGCAATAGCTTTCTAGACACTCCCGCCGTTGASKCAAAATTTTTTATCATAACGTAATCACCTGGATTATACTTGTGCGCTGTCCGTCGTTTTTTATTTACATAGTCCTCGTTATAGGATTGTAACCGCTTTCCGTTTTCTTTGGCTTGTGACCGTATTTCGTTGTATTCGATTTTCCTTATGATTTATTAAATTTTCTCCTGGCAGATCTACACCCTTTCCTTGTTGCTTACTACCAAACAGCATTACACTAGGGTATTCTTTAATTGTTCTAGGAATGCTATTATTTAGCGCATATTCAACGGTTTCAATCACATTATCCCAATAAATTCCTTTTTCTGTGTCACACAGCTTGGCTATCATCGGACCTAGGCTCCGGTTCACTCTTTCTACCTGTCCATTAGCCTGTGGAGAACCAGTAGCTATTTTTATATGTTGAACGTTTTCCTCTTCTAAAAAGTTTGTAAACTCGTTTGACGTGAAACAACTACCCCTGTCAGAAATTACTACTTTTGGTCTACTATACGCTCGAAGGTAATCTTTGAGTGAAGCAATCACTTCCTTTGCATTAGTTGTTTTTGTAGTATATAAGCGAGTAAATTTTGTACAGGCGTCTATGACTACAAAAATGTGCTTCTTTAGCCTCGAACTATCTACAGGACCGTAATGATCTACATTTATAATTTCAAACGGATTCTCATTTTTGGGAATATTATGCAGGAAACTCTCTTCTTTCCAATGTTTCGACGAAAAAACTATACTAATTTTGTATGTGGCTAGCTGCTTTTTCTCTCATCTTAGCAAACCAATAATGTTTTGAAATAAGATCCACTGTTTTATTAACACCTATGTGACCCATTTCATCGTGATACATAAATAGTACATGCCTTTCCATTGCTTCAGGAACACAAAAAAGAATCCTTCTATTATTTACTTTTCGATATATAACCCCATTCCTCATCTCGTATAAATTATGTTCACATTTTTGCAAAATGCCTCGCAGTTCCTTTAATTTCTCATCTTTTGCCTGACATATGATTAAATTTTCTTCAAAAGTGTTGGAATCCACCAGTAAAATATCATTACTGCGACTTAAAGCGTCTACATGTTGCATGCGTGTACCTGATCTGTGCTCTAAACTGTAAGCATAATTTTGAAGCTCTAGTGCCCACCTCGCTATTCTAGGATTCAATTCTTTTTTATTTAGTGGCATAGTTAATGAATTACAATCAGTAATTATTTTAAATTTTAACCCTTGAAGGTAGACCCTAAATCGTTTGAGTGCATATATTATAGATAACGTTTCTAGTTCAAAGCTATGATATTTCGCTTCCGTCTCACTTGTTCTTTTAGAAAAATAAAATATGGTATGAATTTTCCCGTCTACTTTCTTTTGCATCAGAATTGAACCAAACCCTACTGCACTTGCATCACAATGTATTTCTGTTTCATCTAAGGCATCATAAATCGCTAATATCGGTGCTTCCAATAACTTTTGTTTGAGCTCTTCAAAACTTTGTAGCTCTTTAGCTCCAAACTGAAATTTGTTGTCCTTACGAGTTAAATCATACAACGGCTTAGCAATAATCGAAAAATTCTTTACAAATCGTCTGAAATAGGAACACAAACCCAAAAAACTTTGTACAGAATGAACTTTAGTTGGAATTGGAAAATTTTTAATCGCCTCTAAACCCTTTTCATCCGCTTTAACCCCTAGATGTGAAATTGTGTACCTTAAATATTTTACTTCTTGCAGCAAAAATTCACACTTATCAATTCGTAACTCCAACTTGTTCTCGACCAACCTTTTGAAAAATTCTACTAATATTAATAAATGTTCCTCCGCAGTTTCTGTAGCTATCATTATGTCATCTAAATATATTATCACTTTATTTTCTTTCACCATATCTAGAAAAATCTTATTTACAAAACGTTGAAATGTAGATGGTGCATTTTTTAACCCAAATGGCATTCGCAAAAATTCGAATTGCCCTAAAGGTGTTATGAACGAAGTATATTTAATTGAATTTTCTTCCATAAATACATAAAAAAATTCGTTCTTTAGATCGAGTTTTGTGAACAACTTTTTATTTGCTACTCTATCTAACATGTCATCTATCAAGGGAATAGGGTAATTGTCCTTTGCTGTGACCTTATTAAGTGACCRATAGTCAACACACATTCTAATGTCGCCTGTCCTTTTACGCACTAGTACAATTGGTGACACATATTCTGACTCACTCGGCCTAATTATTTTCTTTTCCAAAAACTCATCCAACAATTTTTGTAATTCATTTTTTTCCGAATAGGACAAAGGACAGTTGTCCAACGACCAACTTCATTTCACTTTTAATTTTAGGTTCAGCCGCGCGCTTTTGTTTTATATAATATTTACTTAAAATTTCATTAAATTTTTCGATATCGTTATAGTTTATATTCGAGCCAATTTTGACAATTAATTCTTCATTAACAACGTTAGCTATCAAAAGTTGTTTCTYAAAATTTTCTTCTTTGCATTTTTTAGTCACCTGACTTGAATATTTAATTACCATTTTACAGTTTTCTTTCACATTGATTTTGTCGTTTACATATATATTCTCTAAATACATATCTTCGTTATCATGACTATCTTTTTTACATTTATACTTTAGTTCGGTTTTAATGTCGTGCCGAGTTTTCGTCATACCTACATCACAATTTTTTATTTTTTCAGCTCTGAATAACTTAAAATTACAAATTCTCAAAAAATCTCTTCCCAATGCAGCCTCATAATGCATAGTACAATCATCAACTACTACAAAATTTAATTCAAATAATTTATTATTTATTCTAATACAACACAAAAACTTTCCATAAGTTGCAATTCTCGTATTATTTAAACCAAAATAAAAAGTATTCACATTTGATAAAAACTCTAATTTCAAATTTTCTGCAACGCAAGATTTTTTTATGAAGCTGATTGGGCTACCTGAGTCGATCAGACATTCTAGTGAAGATGAAATATTTGTATAATCTTTTATAACAAAATGAAATAATCTGACATATTCATTAACTGCGTGGACAGTTTTCTTCTCTGGACATGCTGCTATTTGATGATTTCGACTGCCACACCCATAACACGTACCCATCTCTCGCTTTGGTTTACGGCATTCTGCTGCTAGGTGTCCGCGACTGCTGCAGTTGTAACACCTTTTTTCTTGAATCTGCGACTGAGCCGGCGC